ACCCCATCACTGGTCAAAGTTGGTATTATCTGAGTTTCAAAAAGGATAATTGTAGTGGACTAAAACCCATCAAATGTGTTTAACTTCATGATTCAATAATAATATTTTTTTAAAAAGTGATCACCATTGTAAAATAAGAAGGAACCAATTAATTTTTTCAAAACTGGTATATAAAGAATCTAGCACTTTTTCTGCTACATGAAATGGGAAGCCAAAGAGTAGATGAGGAAAAACATATCTTAATAAAATTATTCCAACTAATGAATAAAAATAAATGACGCAATTAGAATCTTACAATTTTTCAAACCCCAGTGAATGAACAAATCTGGCATTAAGCATCAATAGCTACTAACATCACAAAAAACAATCAGACATTATGTGCCACCTGATTAAAGAAAACACCACCATCTATATGTTCAAACCCTTTGGCAAGACTATAATTCTGATCAAGCTTCTGGATCCAGTTCACAATTTGTAAGAAATATAGAGGAAAAAAGAACATGTCGAACATCATCATGAATATATAGTTATCAAAATCTAGACTGTGGGAAACTCGAAAGGTCAAATGACCCAGGTTTTTGAAAAGATAAAGTTTAAGGAAAAAAAATATGGAGGGGGATCTTGTAGATTAAAAAAACTGTTTTATCAAATAAAAGAAAAAACTCCCAATGTATACAGTAGTCTCCCTTATCCATGGGGGATATATTCCAAGACCCTCAGTGGATGTCTGAAATCGTGGATAAGACTGAATATCATTTCCTATTCATACATTCATTTCCTATTCTCCCTTATCCATGGGGGATATATTCCAAGACCCTCAGTGGATGTCTGAAATCGTGGATAAGACTGAATATCATTTCCTATTCATACATACCTATGATAAAGTTTAATTTAAAAATTAGGCACAGAAAGAGATTAGCAACAATAACTAATAATAAAATAAAAACAGAACAATTATAGCAATACTGTAATAAGTTATATGAATGTGGTAACTTTCTCTCTCTCAAAATATCTTACAAATTTAATGTCTTTTCAATCTTAACTAAGCACCTATCATGCGCTGCAGCTGTAACTTTTGCAGTTTGAGGTGTGACAGCAGAACACGAATTTCTTTTTCCTTTGTTATAATTTCATGGATAGAAGATTCGTTCTTACTGCAGATCTTAGTAACTGCAGCATATGATTTTTGTTCTTTCCTTACTAAGTTGAGAACTTTCGCCTTTTCACTGAAAGGAAACACTTTGCGGCTTCTTTTTGGCATACCCAAACTGCCAGCATCGCTACTCTTGCACTTTGGAGCCATTATCAAGTAAAATAAGGGTGACTTGAACACAAGCACTGTGATACCTTGAAAGTCCATCTGATAACCAAGGTGGCTACTAAGAGATTAATGGGTGGGACATACTAGACAGAAGGATAATTCACATTGTGGGTGGGGTGGAGCAGGACTGTGAGAGACTTCATCACACTACTCAGAATGGTGTGTGATGAAGTATTTCTGGAATTTCCATTTGTGGGTAACTGACACGGAGTAAAGCAAAACCAAGATTAAGGGGGGACTACTGTACAACCCATAAAACTTTTGTATTTAGGATATACAAAACCTCCCACATATCAGTAACAAAAAGATGGAAAATCAAGTAGAATAAAGGGCAAAACCTGAACACTCAATTCACAGGAAATGACCTAGAAACATAGGAAAAGGTATAGTCTTATAAATATAGCACCCTATCCTCTAGATTGGTTAAAACTAAAATGACTGTAAGTATCAATTGTTGAGGATATGGAGTAAAAACCTCTCAAACACTGCTGGGTACAATGTAAACTGGCATGACCACTTTGGAAAACAGTCTAACATTATCTATTGAAGTTGAAGATATGCATACTCTATAACCCAACAATTTCATTCCTACTCATATACCCAGTAGATATGTGTGTACATGTGCAGCAAGAGACATGTATGAGAATTTTCATAGGGGCACTGCTTAGAATAGCTCAAAACTGGAAACAGCCCAGATTTTGATCAACAGAATAAACCAGTTTACTTATAGATGTACAGAAATAAAAATGAATGAAATACAACTACACACATACATACATATGAATCTCACAAACATACTATTGAGTAAAGGAAGAATTCTGTTCACATAAAAGAGCAAAAGAATTCACATAAAATTCAAACACAGGCAAAAGAAAACTTGAATTATCAAAAAAAAAATTTTTCTTAAAGGCATGGAAATGATCAAACCAAACTTGGCACAGTGATTATTTCTTCAACAAGGGAAAATGTTATTATCTAGGAGGGGTACACAGGGGCCTTCTAGGTCACCGGTAATGTTTTATTTCTTGACTTGGAAGAGAGTTACATAGGTGTTCACTATATAATTATTTGTTAAGCTGTACATATTTGTTCTAAATACTTTTGCATAGGTACATTACATTTCATAATATAAAATTAAAATTTTAAAACAATAAAAAGGTTAGAAAAAGATCAGTGAGTCTTTGGGGTAAGATGTAAAGTGTAATAAGACAATGTGCTGCCAAGTCAACCTGGCTAAAAAGCAAGACCTAATGCTGACTGCTAGCTATCAAATAATGTACTCTGTTCATAAACAGTTTTATATTCACTTAACAAGTAATTATACTGGGCACTTACTGTGTGCCAGGCATTATTCCAGTGACTGGGAACACCCCAGTGCGCAAACAGTACTTACATACAAGTGTTAGGGAGAAAGACAATAAACAAAACATGGTAAAGGAAATGCTGAGGGTGATGCTACTTTTTATGCAGTAATTAGGAGTATCCTCAGTGATAGCTGGCAACTGAACAGAGAGAGACTTAAAGGAATCAAGGAACTAATCCATGCAGGTATCTGGGGAACAGCTTGCCAGAAAGATGGGAACAGCCAAAGGCCTTAAGGCAGGACCGTGCTTGATGTATTCAAGAGACACAAAGAGGCCAGGAGGCTGGAACGGAATAACTGAGAGGAACACGCAGGAGATGAAGCAGGCTTGGGGGGGTGGTGGTGAGGAGGCAGGGTCATGTAGGGCACTGCAGAACTTTCTAAAGACTGTCTCTTCCTGAGTGAGATGAGAAGCCATTTGAAACCAGCAAAATGAGGGGATGTGATTTATGTTTTAAAACCATCATTGTGGGCTTCCCTGGTGGCACAGTGGTTCAGAGTCCGCCTGCCGATGCAGGGGACATGGGTTCGTGCCCCAGTCTGGGAAGATCCGACATGCCGCAGAGCGGCTGGGCCCGTGAGCCATGGCCGCTGAGCCTGCGCGTCCGGAGCCTGTGCTCTGCAACGGGAGAGGCCACAACAGTGAGAGGCCCGCGTACCGGAAAAAAAAAAAAAAACAGTGCTTGTTTTAAAGTAGAACTTATACCCTCTGCTGTCCTCCAATTTATAATGAGCACTTTTTTAAAAAGCTGTGCTAAAATACCCTTAAAACCTACTATCTTAACCTTTTTTGTTTTTTTTTTTTGTGGCACGCGGGCCTCTCACTGTTGCCGCCTCTCCCGTTGCACAGGCTCCGGACGTGTGGGCTCATTGGCCATGGCTCACGGGCCCAGCCACTCCACGGCATGTGGGATCTTCCCGGACCGGGGCACGAACCCGTGGTCCCCTGCATCGGCAGGCGGACTCTCAACCACTGTGCCACCAGGGAAGCCCTATCTTAACCATTTTTAAGTGTAGCATTCAATACTATTAAGTATATCACATTGTCTTGTACAGTGAGTAGTTTTATTTATTTATTTCAAATTTATCAATTTTATCATGTATGGTTTATTTTTTTAATTCTTAAAATTTATTTATTTATTTTTGGCTGTGTTGGGTCTTCGTTGCTGTGCACGGGCTTTCTCTAGTTGCTGTGAGCGGGGGCTACTCTTTGTTGCGGTGTGCAGGCTTCTCATTGTGCTGTTTTCTCTTGTTGTGGAGCATGGGCTCTAGGCACGCAGGCTTCAGTAGTCATGGCTCGCAGGCTCTATAGCGCAGGCTCAGTAGTTGTGGTGCATGGGCTTAGCTGCTCCACGGCATGTGGGATCTTCCCGGGCCAGGGCTCAAACCTGTGTCCCTTGCATTGGAAGGCAGATTCTCAACCACTGTGCCACCAGGGAAGCCCTGACTAGTTTTAAAGGCTTAAAAAAAAATTCAGACTGGTGTTGGTGTTTCTAGATGAATTCTACTACAACTCTACTATTAAGTAGTGTACTCTAAATTTTTCCTACGCCCACTACATGATGGGAGGATTTACATGCTTTGCTAATAAATGTGCATGAAACAGATAGCTAGTGGGAAGCAGCAGCATAGCACAGGGAGATCAGCTCCGTGCTTTCAGACAGCCTAGAGGGGTGGGATAGGGAGGGTGGGAGGGAGGCTCAAGAGGGAGGGGATATGGGGATGTACGTATGCATATGGCTGATTCACTGTGTTGTACAACAGAAACACACACAGTATTGTGAAGCAATTATACTCCAATAAAGGTGCATTAAAAAAATAAATGATAATTGCCCTCAAAAAATATTTAAAAATAAACCTGCATGAATAATTTGAGTATCAAAAAATTATTTGATGAAATTTATCATCCGGTGGCTGGTTACCATGAAAATAGTGAATATAAATTTATATGACTAGGTTCTAAAGGACCATACAGATTTTTAAGGACCAATATAACTCCTTAAACCCCATTCTCTCGCAAGGGAAATCAGTGCATCAGATCAAACCATCCATATGAGTAAAATATAACTCAAATACAGTAGATCATTAAAAGAAAAAAACATGAATATACTATAGTACCTGATTTTGAGGTGTCAGTATTTCTATTATTTAAATACATGATGAATAAAAGACCTACAGAAATTTGGTCTTTAATTTGACAATATTAACATGTGCTTTTGGAAAATCATCACACATTTTAAAATGCTGCTATTGCATATTACTTGGCAGTTTAAGTAAATGTGAGTTTTTTTTCCTATTTTTTTTTTTTTTTTTTACCTCTGTGAAGAGACGAGCGTCATCAGAAAGCATATTATAATCCTGTGCACATTTCTTTGCAGAATTCTGCAAAAATTTTAGGAATTCTGTAACTTCTTCATTCACATGTTTTTTCATATCCTGATTTTGAAAAAAAGTAGACATATCTTAGAATAAGAAGCTTGGTTAAAAACAATCACTTCTCAGTTGCTGCACTAATAATATGGACTTAAAGTATCATGTCCAAAGCAGAAATCACAAAAAAGTTCATTCCACAAAAAGAGAAAAGCTAATGACTAATGCTACAATATATGATTAGGAATTAATAAGCTCATTTTATAAAATGCTTTTAACATAAAAAGGACAAACACCCAAATGGAAAAATAAGCAAACATATAAATATGCAAGTTACAAAAGAAGAATTAGAAATGTCTTATAAACACATGGAAAATGCTTATTTTCATTAGTAACCACTGTAAGTTAATATAAAACAAGAGATTGCCATTTTTTCCATATCAAATTAGTGGCAAAAAAAATAATGTTCATTATTAGTGAAGATATTTTGAAAAAAACCTTCTTACAGTACTGGTACATACAAATTGGTTTAAACTTTTTTTCAGAACAATTTACTCGTGTGTAACTGCAGATCAAAGCCTTAAAAACATGTATAGCTTTTGATCTGGTAATTATATTTTTAAGAATTTATCTTAAGGAAACAATCATAGATATGAACAAAGAGTTTGCAACAATGACATTCAGCACAGCATCACTTACCTAATCGAGAATTTGGAAACTACTTAATTAAAGTAATAATTAACAAAAATTTTAAAGCAGTTACAGGTGCAAGGTAAAGTTCTACTGCTAGTACTTAATATGAACTAGGGTGAAATATACTCAGAACTAGAGCAAAATGCCTCAACTATAATAGAAACAGTAGAATTAAAGCACCAATGTTCTGTCAATTAAACTCCTTATAGTTTCCATTTTTATTAATATGATTGCACCTAAAAACATAAAAGCAAATTTCAAATATTTCCTAACTTTTAAATATTTTTTAACTGACGCTGAAGAAAACAATACATACCAAGTACTGCAAGTATTCATTTTTATTTATTCCAACAGCTTTGGAACTCACAGGGATTTTTGCATATTTAACCAACAAATCCACATAATTCCTCTGCTCTCTCTGTGAGAAACGAGAGAAACGAGGATAAGGAACTCTTGGTTTTGGAAGAAGAACCATTCCAACTGTGGTTTTCACTTTTTCCTTTGCTTGAGTTGCTGAACTAACTGCCGGCTCAGTCTCTACAGAACTTGCTGAGGCATTCAAATTTTCTCCTATACGTCTGGGGAAAAAAAATACAATTTACAAATATGTGCTTTTCACATGAAGATTACTATCATGAAACTTCATGATTCTCAATCACCAGGGAGAATACAGAGTGATTAACAGAGTAAATTCTGGATTATTATCTAACTCTGCCACCTGCATTTGGATGTTTAGCCATTTAGTATAAATTAAGTATTCTGCAGGATAGGATCACATTACAAGTTTACCTTCAATTACCTGATGGAGAGGAAGAGGCAAAATCCTTAGACAAGTTATTCAATTTGGAAGCTTCCTCCCTTTATTGAAGAGGGGTAAATCACTCTTGCTAGTTATATACGCAGGTATTTTGTGTTTACATTTTATTATAATTCAAGTTGTTTTTTAGTACATAAAGTCTTCAATAAGATATATCAGTTAATGCAGTGAACAAAAGCCACTAAGAGCAGGGTATGTTGGGGTCACAAACTTGAAGTTCACAAATTCACTGAGATTCTAAATTTTCTGGTTTCCTCTGCTTTAATTATCTCAAGAATTAAAAAGAAAATCCCAACACTCTGTGATATATTTTATGGAAATAACAGTGGTTTTAGAAAAGTTGTATAATCCTCTATCACTCATGCACATGGCTGAGTTTATGGAAATGTCTTTATGTTTTGTATAGATACAAAAGAGAAATCTTGGCACATCTATAATGAAATACACTACAGGAAAAACTGGTGAGTAGCTAGAGAACCTGTTACCCTGTCCGTTTATGAAAGGCTACCCCAAATTTTAAAAAAAATCACCTTACTACCCCAATTAAGGTATATGAATACAAATTTCTTATCTTGTAAATAATCTGTCTCTATTGCTGCTATTCAGTGTTATAATCTACATTTTTCATAAGAAAGTCTTAAAGTACACAAACACACACACACACACACACACACACACACACACGAAACTACATTTCCTTAGCCTCTACAACTTCAATTTCCACCACAGTAATGATTTGGTTCCAAACTAAAAAGGGTGAGTTAAGCCCCATCCAAAGCTACCATTAATTTGTTTTAGATCAACGTTAAAATATTAGAATAAATACGATAAAAATTCCAAAATTCTTTAAAAAAAGACTTAGAGCCCTCAAATAAGGCAAAATATTCAAGATTACTCTTTTAGAGCTAAACTCTGTATGTAAGACTAACCAAGAGAGCAGGTTAGTAAATGGAAAAAGAATTTTGGAAATTAAAATAAGGATGCTTAGATTGGCTCTGAAAATAATACAGGTGAAAGAAGACATACTTAACTACTAAAGTTTCTCCAATAACTGCATAAAAATAAGCATATTTTAGGTTAACAAAATGAATATTAACTGCTGATCTTGGGAGAAATGTATTACAGCAAATTGATTTCTCACTAGAAAATGTCTTGAGAGCTATTCAAACCTAACAGTATTGTGTCCGCAATTCTTAACAATACTGCTTCACAGCTGTCTCTCTGAATATGAGAACACGTCTGTCCTTGTGACACAAACTGGCAAATTTAATTAAGCTGCTGCAGCAACAAGATGCTGACTCAGATACGCCAGAGTAGGAATGTCAAGAAATTCTAGCAGTTTAAATTGGCTACATTCAGCAAAGAATGAAACGGCAGCACATCAAGATCATTTCTGTGTGCAGCGCTGTCAAAATCTTCATCAGGGTGCAAGCCAAAAGCATCTGACGGGGTTTTTCTATCCACATTTTACAGCATTATATTTTATTTAAGTTGATGGTTTGAAGTTTTCTCCCTTCATTTTGTCAACTCTCCTTTTTTACTTTAAGTCTCTATGAAAAAAAGGCAGAATTCAAAAGTTTTCATTTCCTATGCTTTAAGTCTCCTGGTTTGGGTAGCTTCTTTAAGTAGCATTTGGAAATGGTACTTCTAGCCTCCATCTAAAGTCTACCTGTACCTCCTGAATTTGATTTACTTATATACATTAAACATGTTAAAATTTCTTCTTTTTTGTGTATTTGAAGCTTCTTTCCCCTTTGTTGGCTTAAAACTCAGTTATAAATATGAATAACCAGAAACTGATTTTTTTTTTTAAATTTTGGCTGCATTGGGTCTTCGTTGCTGCGCACAGGCTTTCTCTAGTTGCAGCGAGCAAGGGCTGTGCAGGCTTCTCATTGCGGTGTCTTCTCTTCGTTGCAGACCATGGGCTCTAGGCACATGGGCTTCAGTAGTTGTGGCACGCGGGCTCAGCAGTTGTGGCTCGTGGGCTCTAGAGCACAAGCTCAGTAGTTGTGACGCACAGGCTTAGTTGCTCTGCGGCATGTGGGATCTTCCCGGACCAGGGTTCGAACCCGTTCCTTGCAATGGCAGGCGGATTCCCAACCACCGCGCCACCAGCGAAGTCCCCAGAAACTAAGTTTTAAAAGGCAAATATTTACCTTTTAGTGGAGGGAAAAGGGTTGAATAAAAACCTCATACTGTTGAAAGTAGCATAATTAGAGGTATCAATATTTTCCCAAATATGTTTTTATAGAACACAAAATACAAAATTAGGGCTAATAAATTTACATTCTTCCGAGTCCTTTTTTGTTTTTTTCTTCCTGGTTTTTTCATCAAGAAAACTGTGGTAATTTAATATAGTCTGAAAATCCATTCTTACTATAATAAAACTAAAGGTTAGCAAAAAAGACTAGAAACATACGAAATCAATGACTTGTGTCTTTATTTCTTCTATGCTAAAAGGTGTATTATACTAACAAATTATTTTGTGCTATATAGAAATCTAAAGAAAAACAAGTGATATTCTAAGAAAAAAAGATTTTAGGTGTTAAGTGTACTCAACTTCCAGTAGGACGTCCTCTCCCTTACAAATTTCAGACTATAACCCACGCTTGGGATATGCTGAATAGAACCGGATTTGAAAAGGGCCGTAAAATAATTAAGAAGCAGTAGCAAGGGACTTCCCTGGTGGGGCAGTAGTTGAGAATCTGCCTGCCAATGTAGGGGACATGGGTTCGATCCCTGGTCCGGGAAGATTCCACATGCCGCGGAGCAACTAAGCCTGTGCGCCACAACTACTGAGCCTGCGCTCTAGAGCCACAACTACTGAAGCCCGCGTACCTAGAGCCCGTGCTCCACAACAAGAGAAGCCACCGCAATGAGAAGCCCACGCACCACAACAAAGAGTAGCCCCCATCCGCCACAACTAGAGAAAGCTCATGCGCAGCAACGAAGACCCAATGCAGCCAAAAAAAAAAAGATGCTCATTGTTTGTAACAGTAAAGGAATGGAAACAACTTAAATGAGTATCAGTGGTAGCAATTAATTGATTCCACTAAGAAATACCACTGTCACCAGAAAACTAGGAGGAAAATTAGAGTGCGATATCTCTATGGTCAAGAGCTCAATGATTTTAAGAGGAGCAGTTTTAGTAGCCTAGTGAGGGCAAAAGGCAGATTACAGTGGAATGTTCAGTGAAAGCAAGTGCAATGGGATATGCAATAAAGGGAAGGGTTTTTTTTTTTCATCCTGTTTTTTTTTTTTTTTGGCGGTACACGGGCCTCTCACTGTTGTGGCCTCTCCCGTTGCGGAGCACAGGCTCCAGATGCACAGGCTCAGCGGCCATGGCTCACAGGCCTAGCCGCTCCGTGGCACGTGGGATCTTCCCAGACCGGGGCACGAACCGTGTCCCCTGCATCGGCAGGCGGACTCTCAACCACTGCGCCACCGGGGAAGCCCTCCATCCTGTTTTTTAAATTGATTCTCCAAATCTGTCTTTTGGCTGGAGAGTTTAATCCATTTAAAGTAATTATTGGGAGGGAGGGACTCAGCGATGTTATTTTGTTAATTGTTTTTGGTATGTCTTATAGATTTTTTGTCCCTCATTTCCTCCCAGCAAGCATATACAAGTATTTAAAGAAGTCTAAGTACAAATGGGAGAAGAGCTAAGAAAGCAACTAGGAGGGAATGTGGAACCCAGGAACTGAGATGGGACAAACTTGAGCATGTTTAAATATTGGTCAAGAGAGAACAAAGAGGGACTTCCCTGGCAGTCCAGTGGTTAGGACTCTGCGCTTCCACTGCAGGGGGCATGGGTTCGATCCCTGGTATGGGAACTAAGATCCCACAAGCTGAGCGGCATGGCTTAAAAAAAAAGAGAGACAGGAGTTAAGAGGGGATGCTAATTGACAGAAAAGGTACTGAAAAGCACGGAGTCCTAACAACAGGTCTGCTAGGGAAGTCCCCCCATTTTTGTTTTAATATGTATCTGTTCATGAGTGGAGAGAAAGGTCTGAAAAGATATATATGCACACCAAAGAGTGGTCGCTTTCTGGTACTGAGTTCTTCTATTTTTTAATTTCTACATTTCTATAATTTGAATTTATCATGGTGGATATAGATATATACAAAACTTCAACTATCAGGAAAATAACAATCAAATATGGAAATAAATAACCAAATAAATAAACATATTACCTGCTAGATAAAATACATAGTTCTTTTAAACTTGGAGCCATGGAATGATCTTTATAATTTTCTCGAGAGAAAAATGTCTTAAGGCCATTTTTGGGGGAAACATCCCTGTAAAACAAAGTGATTTACTTGAATTTTACAATTCAAAATTTCATGCTAGATTAACAAGCATAATGGTACAATTGTAATTTAAAACTACACGTCCCCTACATCCCCTTTCCCAGAAAATCACCTCTTAATAATTTTAATTTCATGTGTGAGTTTAGATGTTTTACTTCTTGGATAGTTTTTAACCTAGGCCCATTCTGAAATTCTCCAATTCCAACAATCAGCCTTGCTTTTTCCTTTAGTACCCAACTAAATGCCAGAGATACTTGAGAGTTAAAGATAGAGCAGACTGAAGTATCATAAAGGGTCTGTCAGAGGCAAGGCTCACCTCAGGCTCTGTGGCATAACATTAAGATGTTTGACTGCTGAAAGAAAGTGCTTCTTAACCTATTTTTGTCTCATTCACTATTGTGCTCAGCCAAAAAACACTACAAAGACTGATTATCCAACGTTTTTTGTTAACTTGGCAAATGTGATAAATGGTGTGCCTCTACTAAAACTACTTGCAAGGTCATATATGATTTTCTATACTGTAATTAATTTACAGACTAACATACTATAGTCAATGCTTTCTGTATAGTAAGCATCCAATAAACGCTGGTTGAACGAAAGAATTTAAAAATTAAACACACTGAGAACAATTAATCTAGGGAGAACAAAAATTAGAAGGATTCTGTAGAAAAGGACCATTCCAAGGACTGTGCAAAGGCTCTAAACCACGTCTGGTTTCACAATGTCAATGATATAGAAGAGCATCTGTCCTGCGTTTGAACACATTTTTTATGGCAAGGAGCATAAATGTGCGTACCTCTTAAAACTTACAACAGAAAAATCTAGTCAAATGGCACCTTGTGGCTGGCCCATTACTAAAATGGGAAATTCTCGCATATTTGCTCCATACTCATTTCTTACTGTTTTAAAGGTGTTTATCTAAAAACAATAATTAAGGTATTAACGATAAATCTAAAAAGTCTTATTTGTTATGCACCGGGGTAGTTTCTTAGTACTTGCTATTGTGCTGTATCTGTGACATCTCATTAAATTCTAAAGTTTTTGCATAACATACAAAAACAAAGTCATGGGCCTCAGGAATTGTGAGCTCCTTGGAGGAAACACTGTTTTCAATAAACAAATACTTATTGAACACATACTGATTGTATTTATTTGATAAACTTGACATGTTACACTTTGTAAATTTAAGGTGTACAGCATGTCACTTTGATAACATTTCTATATTGTAATATGATTGCCACTGAATCAACATTTATCACATTACATAATTATAGACAATATCATTGTCTATATGCATTATACTAGAGGATGTAGTGATTGAATCTTCTGAGTCAGGTACTATTTCAGTCATCTTTGTAATCTCTTGTAACTTTTGTATTCTCCTCCCCTAGCAAACTCCTTTGCTAGTAGAGTAGATGCTCACTAAATGTGTGTTAAATTGATCTAAAGCAGCACACACATTAGATTTCTACATAGCCACCATATTACTTAATAAAGTTCTCTATTTGTAAAGTTCTCATACACTTCTAAAATAGTCTATGCATTTACATTATCACTTGATATAAATTCCAATATAACAAAAAGAAGCTTGCCTATTCTTAAAAAAAGGTTGTTGAACGCAGGAAAGTTCCAGCATCTTTCCTTTACTAAGATCAACAATAAATACATGATGGAGTTATACCTAGAAGCAATCTAAGTGCTGAATTGTTATCACTTTAGGAGAGGAAGTGCAGTCAAAGATAACTCAAAAGTGCCAAGCAGGTGTAGATAAGAACGGGGTAGGGCTTCCCAGGTGGCGCAGTGGTTGGGAGTCCGCCTGCCGATGCAGGGGACACGGGTTCGTGCCCCGGTTTGGGAGGATCCCGCGTGCCACGGAGCGGCTGGGCCCGTGAGCCATGGCCGCTGGGCGTCCGGAGCCTGTGCTCCGCAGCGGGAGAGGCCACAGCGGTGAAGGGCCCGCGTACCGAAAAAATAATAGTAATTTAAAAAAAAAAAAAAAAGAACGGGGTAGATGAGAATGGGGTAAACTCTAAGCCACTGTACTTATCTTCTTTCTGTTTCCTCCAAATCTCTCCAGGCCAGACACCCTCCTTTCCTAATGCAGACACCAGACCCACTTCAATCCTCTTTAGGAGATTGCAAACAGATGTAACTCACCAGTTCAGCCTTGGTTCACCCATGGCCATCATGGAGCTCATATTCCTAGATTTCTGCTTCACTCTAGTTCACAATTCTGCTGCCTGGCAGTGTAGGCTCCTAAGGAGGCAGGATGTCTCTAGAATTTTCACTCAACTGAGGAAAAAACCAAAGGTCAAGAACAAAAGCAGGTGATTGGCTGGACCAGATACTGTTAACTCAGATGAGTCAAGAACCTGTTCCTAAACAACCACCCTCAATCGACACAGACACGTAAAATAGAAAAGGGCAGACAGACGAATATTCCCAAGGCCTTTGAGGCAGAACAGCGAAGCTAACGTAGGATCAGTCCTTCTCCATTTAACTTATTCCAGGAACGTCACGAAAGAAGACCGAAACAGAATGGTGTTCTCATTGCTCACATACAAGATCCCAGAATGGGCTGTATGTCTTGACTCAGTCCCCTGCCCCGACTCCCTTATTGTCAAAATAAATCTTGCTTCCATTTTCCCAACCATACATTATTATGGGGCAGGTTCTGGCAAGCAACGAAGGACGAAAGCTATCTGGATGTCAAGAATCTTTCAAAGAGAACCTCACTTTTGGAGGAGACTGAGGGCCAGATAACTTAAGTGACATTTCACGGGATCACTTAGAGGACTCACCAGCAATAGAAATCTGGCTTGCATCTGGCCTGAACGTCAACACTGCATGTTCAGTGCTTCTCCTGCCACCCCGTGCGGATAAAGAGTTTGTGAGCAACGGACAGTCAAACGTAGGAGTCGATCTCTCAGTAGCGGACGGGCCTCACCTGCTCCCACTTAATCCACCTCCCACGCTTCTGCCCGGTGAGGGGCTGGGGCGGGAGAGCCGATGAAGGCACAAGGAAGGCTGAGGGAAAGGGAACCAAAGGAAAAACAAGGTTCTAGAAATGCTGTAAATCGGTGAGCAAAGACAGGGGAGGGGACCGCGCCAGCACCAGCTGGGAAGGGTCCTGGCCTGGCCTAGGGGCCGCCATGTTCCCTCCTCCCGCCCCTCACAAGCGCGCCCTCCCCGCCGAGTCTCTGCAACAAAGCAGCCTTGCCGCCCACCTCGTGGTCAGCGGCGCCTCCGCCCCGAACCGCGACCTGGACCCTAGCGAAACAATCACACGCCAGTACAACCCACGCCTCTCTGTCGCGCGCCTCGGGAAGGCCTTATTTAAAGGACATGGCCGCGCCGCCTCGGCCTTGCGTGGTGACGTCATCAGCGACGCAGCGGGCGGGGCCCGTGCAACTCGAGAGGGCCGTCCCCCGCCTCCCCCTCCTCCCCCCGCCCCCTTCCCGCCTCCCCCCCGCCCCCTTCCCGCCTCCTCCCCGCCCCCGGACTCCTGGTAGATTCCGCTGGAAACTGTGAGACAGGGGTTGCTGGAGCTCACCTTGAGGGCTGGGGGGCTATGTATTGTCCTAGAGAGTCCTCGACCTTGAGGAGATCATAAACTGGCAGAAGGACAGTACAGTACAGTACTGGAAAGACCCAGACTTGGAACAAGTACAGTACTGGAAAGACCCAGACTTGGTTGTGACCTTAAGTGTCTTAACTGACTCATCAATAAAATGGAGATATAAGCACCTACTTAGCAGGGTTTTTTGAAAGGATTAAATGAAATAAGGGATGAAGCTGTGCTCAGCACAGTTACCTGGCACGCAGTAGCATCTCCACTCCATTCTCCTCCCATTTTAGATGTCATTTTCTACCAGCGGTCACTCTGGCTCTTACACTCACTAAGTGTAAGATTTTCACTCACTCAGGAAAGATTTATTGAGCACTTATAACTTGTGCTTGGTGCTGCGTACACATAGGACTCGGAGCCAATACTGGTTTTTCCAAGAGCTTTTGATCATTGGGAAGCTTAGATATACACATTAAATAATTACAAAATAAAATACAAAGTGATGAGCTACATAAGAAAGGTATTATAGAAAAGATTGTGTGAGTTCAGGGAGGGAGAGAAATCACTAGTGAGAGAAACAGAAAGCAGCTTTGACTAGCTAAAGACATCTACTGAACACTTATATGTCAGTTACCACTTTGGGCACTTGACATGTCAGCCCATTTGAAGAATTTGAGGTATGTGGATGATGGAAAAGGATGGTTCTAGATAGAGACCAGCACAGGGAGCTGCATACACCTACTGCATGAACAGAGTCCAGTTTGTGTGCTAGCAGGAAAGCATGTTCTGAAGTTTAGAATGATTTGTGATATTGTTTAAAATTATGTCTACATAGAAATCACACGTATGTGAAAAATCTCCCTTGAATACAGGGACCCTTAGGTAATTTACTTTGCCTGCATTACAAGGTCTCTGAAGAGCAGTATAGGAAAGGGTTTGGAAAATTAGGTTGGGAATAGAACACAGAAGACCTTATAAGCCAGAGTAAGGATTTTGATTTTATTGTATAAGAAATGGGATGCTGAGGGGAGAGGGGAGCTTATAAGGAGAGGAATGACACAATCAGAGCTTCTGTGTTTTAGGAATGTTTATCTGGCAATGTATTGAATGATTTGTAGGGAAGAGGCCAGTTAGGAGACAGTGCTTGTGGATGCTTGCAAATCAACTGGTGCAGTGCCCAGCACTGTGGGGCAGCATTTCTTATTAGGTGAGCGATGCTGACTCACGCGCTAGGACAGAGACGGACATGGAGGCAGTGTAGAAGTTTAAGAATTGGGTACTATCTCGCAAAGCATGCAGTCGGAGTTGGGAGTCATGTCCTAGTCTTCAGCAACTGCTCAAGTGAAAGAGCAATACCATATGGTATCTCTTACATGTGGAATCTAAAATATGACTCAAATGAACCTATCTACAAAACAGAAGACTCACAGACATAGAGAACAGACTTGTGGTTGCCAAGGGGCAGGGGGCAGGGGGCATGGAGGAAGGATGGAGTGGGAGGTTGGGATTACCAGATGTAAACTATTATATAGAGAATGGATAAACAACAAGGTCCTATGGTATAGCACAGGGAACTATATTCAATGTCCTGTGATAAACCATGATGGAAAAGAATATTAAAAAAATGTGTATATATATATATCTGAATCACTTTGCTGTACAGAAGAAATTTACACAACATTGTAAATCAGCTATGCATCAATAAAATAAAAATTAAATATTTCCTTTAAAAAAAAAAAACTGCTCAAGAATTGTTGAAGCACTCATGCTGCTGGGGTGCACCAGCCCATAGTAGTGTGGCATGGTAACGTCACCAGACGTGGCCTGTGTTGAGATTAGAGATTATCATCAGTTTGCTCTGGTCCAGTGTATCTGAGTGCCAGTGGTTACAAGAAGGAACTTTGGAGATTATGTAGTCCAACTCTCTTGTCTTCCTGATAAGGAGACTGAGGCCCACATTGTCAAGTGACTTTTGCAACATTTACGTGATCAGTGGTAAAGCTGATACTACAAATCAGGTCTCATAACTTTTGCCATTAAAATGTTAAGTCTATGCATCCTTCCCTCTTTACACGCTACTCTGTAAACCAGAAGCAGTTTAATGAAAAGAACATGGATTTTTGGAGTCCAGCAGATATAGGTTTGTATCTCAGTTTTCCTGCTTACTGGCAGTGTGATCCCAGACATGTTGTGTTGCCTCTTTGGGCCTCAGTTTCCTCATCTGGGTAATGGGTGAGGTAATTATCTCACCTACAGGATTGTTGTGAGGATTAGAAGTAACATGTAAAAATTTCACTACAAAGAGTAAATGCTCAACAAGTAGTAGCTATTAGTATACACTTTCATGCCAAAGACAAACAAGCAAATACATTTGACCACTCACGGTGGTGGTGGCATTGTTTAACAAATGATTATAATACAGTATAAACAGGAAATGATATACGCTGCCAACTAAAGAATGTCACTCTCCATCTGGCTCTACAAGGATTAGGTAATTAGCCACTGTAGCCGTTGACCTTTAACACACCCTGAAAGGAGTTCAGGGCAGAGATCAGGAATGAGACACTCTGTGCTCTGGGAAAACTGGCAGAACAAGCCTTTAGAGAGTTAGATATTTTCAGGAGAATTTTTTTATGAACCTGGATTCTTGCATCTTCCCATACTTAGAAAATCCCTAAAACCATTACCTAAGCTGTCTGTTCCTTGTGACTGGCAGCAACCTTCTACCGAGACATGTGCCTGATTGCACATACCCCACTTCAACAGAATCACATATATACTGACCTCTCCCCTTACCTCTTTGGAGCAGTTTCTCAGAGCTATCTGAGAGGCTGTGTCCTGGGCTATACTCCTCAGTAAGTCCCTAAATAAAATTGAAACTCACAGCTCTCATGTTGTTTCTATTTCAGTCGACCACACACACACACACACACACACACACACACAAATTATAGATTCTATGGGAACACAATGAGGAAGGAACTCATTCTGACAATTTATAGACTACTTCAGAGAAAAAATTTAATTTACATTGGGTCTTGAAGGATGAGTAGGAGTTCACTGGGTTGAGAAGGGGCTGTGGTTTTGGGGGTGTGAAGAGCCCAGAAGTGTGAAACAGTGCTGCGTGTTGCAGGGAGGGGAACAGCTACTTACTGTATTGCCTTGTGGGGGAAGTGGAGGCCATTGGACCGGACAGGGGAGGAGGGGCCTGAGAGGGTCTTCATGCCATGCTAGAGAATTTGGAACTTTGGACTTCATTCTCTGGGTGATAGGGAAACCACTGTGTGTGTGTGTGCGTGAGTGTGTATGTGTGTGTCTGTAAAACAGCTTTACTGAGGTGTAATCTATGTGCCATAAAATTCACTCACTCAGTTATCATTCACTAATTTTTAGTACATGTACAGTTGTGCAACCATCAACACTACCAAGTTTTAGAACATTTCCATTGCCTTGAAAAATCCTGTGTGCTCCTTCGTAGTTAATCTCTCTTCCCATCCCCAGCCCCAGGACAAACACTAAACTGCTTGTGATTCTACAGACTTGCCTTTTCTGGACATTTCATGTGAATGAAATCATACAATATATAGTCTTTTGCATCCAGATTCTTTCTCCTAGTAGATTATCCATTTTTGAGGATCATCCACGTAGTAGCAAGCATTAGCAGTTGTTTTGTTGCTGAATAGTAGAATGACATTTATGTATATGCCCCAATTATTTTATCCCTTCAACACTTGATGGATGTTAGATGGTTTCCACTTTATATATATATAGCTATTATGAGTAATATTGGTATGAACATTTGTATACAAGTCTTTGTGTGAACTTTGTGTTTTCATTTCCCTTGCTCAGATACCTAGGAATAGAATTGTTGGGTTGTATGGTAAATTTGTGTTCAACACTTTAAGACACTGCCAAACTGTTTTCCAAAGTGATTGTTCCATTTTATTCTGTGGATGTTCAAGCAGAAAAAAGATTTGGTTTCCATTTCTTCTAAACTGAGAAATAAACAAACTCGGGAGTTGAATGAGAAGCCAATCTCTTTTTGAAAGAATTGATAACAGTAGTTACTTATTTTGAGTTTATGTTTCAGTGGACCACAATTTCAAAAATAACTCTTAAAACTGCAAGCACCTGGCTAAGTGAAGTTATCAGAGTTGTTCTAGATGTGTATTTCTTTAGACCAAATCAAGACAGAGAAATGTGCAAGATCATCTATTTTTTATCAGTACCAAGTTATTTTCCTACCTCTCAGCTGACGAGCTTCCTTTGCTTGATCTGGGGTGAACTTGGCCTTGGAGAGTTTATGGCTGGTAACTACTTCACTCAGGGAATTACTTCACGAATTTACAATCATCCATAAGGCCCTCTCAAAGTGAGAATCCAGAAATAGCCCTCTAGCAAAGAGGTTTCAATCTAGTAATTGATTCAGAAACTAGTGGGGGAAATACTGTTGCCAATAGTAGTTTGTTCAAATCAGGCTTTTCAGCAATAAATGGTATTTCAAGTGGGAAGGAATTATTATTACTCCTGAAAACCAGAAAAATACTGGCTATGCTGTGTTTGGGATATACTGTGTCAGAAGAGAATGGCTAAAGTATTCAAATTTTTCTACTCAGAAGATGATAATTTCTATAGTATATTTTGTTGTATTCTGTGTAAGATTGTCCCTGGGCTAAAAAAAGACCCAGAAACAACTGTTCATCTGAATGCTGGTCTTCTTTTAAAAATTTTTTAAATAGAAGTAAAGTTGATTTATAATGCTGTGTTAGTTTCTGGTGTAAAGCAAAGT